CCCTACCACCTTCAATGGCAAATATCTCAAGTTCTATTCAAGATGGATTGGTACTTTTTTCGCCGAATGCAAGACAAATGAACAAGCTTTTAAGTTGATATTAATAACTCTATACGCCCAAAAATTGACGAGCGCCTCATTCCACCACGTCGTGATACATATAGATAAGGTACACCCGACACACTACTCCACACTTCTCCGCGGTATTTTATTAAACTCTGTTGATTAATTATATCCCTGTGCGGCTTAACGCCAGCAGAAATTTCATTTCGACCATTGCTTGAATGTGGGCTGTGATTGTATACGTGCTCCAAACGACATGTCAAACATTGTTGAATGTGAATAAATGCTCGTACTTCCTACTACAGTGGGAAGGGAGAGTGAGGGAGAGGGAAAGGGGGGGGGGATTGTGAGTGTGTATGTGGGAGGGGGGTGGTGAGAATGTGAGAATGAGCAGGGAGGTGGGCACCATATTATTATCTTCATGAACTGGAATCGGCAGTATAGACCAACTATAAGACGATCAATGTGATACCCGAATGGGGAAGTCTTAGTTTAGTTTTAGTGGAGGTTTTACGGCGCTTGCAAGAGTATAAGGTCATATGGGTGCCAATCAAGAAGTCTGTTTGATCAACTGATATCTCCGTCTCTGTGTTGGGTTGTTCTATCCCACTCAGCCTGAATAATTATTTATTTTGGAAAGGTCATTGGCAGTGGGGAGGGGGGGCAGGGGAGGGTATACACTACAATCAGAATGAAAACCCACCCCACACACTGCTTTCTCTATATCACTATATGTTTGCTGTATCTGTCAGAACTAGTAGTATTGTAGGCCTATTAGGCAGTTTAATTTCACGACAACTATCTCCATTCTCAATAAACCGAGCTATCTGTGTTACGAGTGTACATGAACTTTGTAGCACCCACTGCCATCGTAAACTTGATGTTAGTTTTCGTAAAAGTTTTACGGCACTCGTAACACAATTAATATGTTATACATGTATAAGTGCCAAAGATAAAAGGCGTCTCCGGAGAGTAGCATACGAGGACAAGAAGGAGAGAATATACTCGATAGATCCATTCTAGACGACCAAGGCAAATTTTTCTCTGCGGTACAAACAAACTTATCATTATCTTTGTCATTGTCAAACTGAAACGTTTAGTACAGAGCAGAAGACTCTTTGATGTACCTAAATCTCCGTGTCGCACAGAATAATGAACCACCGAAAATATTATGTGGGTCTGTTCTTTGTAACACAGTCTTGCCATTTCACACACTGTTTGAAAGTAACATGTGAGGTTGGTAAATGTAGAGTTAGTCTTGAAAGGCAGGGTAGAAGTCTCCCGCCTCCAAGTATTGATTTTTTCCACTGAGTGTGAAAAACATTTCAAATCATTTACTATCATTTTTTAAAAAGTATGTACGGTTTAGTACTATTAAGTGATGGGAATTCAAAAATGCTTTTCACGAAATTTGGATCTATGGATATACAATCATATTTAAGTCAAAACCTGATAGTTTACTACATTCGGAACGCCCACCCACCACCCCTCCCAATAAAGAAATAACAACAACAAAAACAATCAAACCAATAAAACACACACATATACTTAAGGTATAGCCTTACTAATAAACGTAACGTGGATTTATAAAAGAAATGGATACCACCGAACAGAAAAAGTTCTCACCGACACACACAAACACAAACACACACACACACACACACACACACACACACACACACACACACACACACA